CTGAGCTAAATCCCCAGCCCCTGTAGCCTTAATTTATTAGCTTCTAATTAGCTTGTTAAAATTTTCCATTAGCATTGTTTTGCACGTTTCAAAATATTAATACAAAAGAGAATACGAGTAAATTCCAAAATTAAAATAAAGTGGAACAAATGAATTCAATTGCATATCAAATCAGTAACATTAACTACAGAGAAAAAGAATTATTTTAAGCGACTTGCAGACAATACTTTACTTGATATTCTCATTGATACACACACACACACACACACACACACACATATATATATATATATTTTTTTTTTAAAGGCAAGGTCTTGCTATATAGTTCAGGCTGGCCTCCAACTCACTATGTAGCCCAGGCTGGCCTTGAACTTGAAATCCTCCTGCCTCAGTCTCCCAAGTGCTGCAATTACAAGTGTGCACCACCATGCCTGGCTTGACGTATATTACAAAAACACAAAAACTACAAAAAATCTTATATTTTCCTCAGTAATTTTATTATTAGAAGTAATATTTTTTACTTTGAACACTTTTTATGTATTATGGAGTAAAGCAAAATATGCAACTATTTCACAGTATTACAAATTGAGACTTTCCATTAAGCAAATAGTGTTATAAATATAAAAATTAAGGAAAACATGAGATCCAATTTGAATTGAAAACAGAAATGTGACATATTATTAATACAAAATATAATTCCTAGATGCTTACACGAGGGACTGAGAAACTTTTCCTGTAAGTGGCTGGATAGCAAATAGTTCAAGCATCATGTTGAAGGGAGGTCTCAATAACCAAATCAGGAAATTTGAGCATCAAATATTGATAATGATGAAGATAAATGTACTTGATTATAAAAATTGAATGAATAAAAACTCATGAGATTATGATCATCATAAAAAAGAAAAGGAAAACAAAGAACATTTGCCACCTTTAAAGATTGCTTATACATCAACTTTTTCGGTAAAAATTTGTAATTAAGAGGACAGAATTAGATATTTCCCCTACTCTAATTGAAGAGAGAAACTTTTC